ATCTGTTGCCAAAAAGTAAACCATCTCAAAACAGTGGCTTCAAACAATAATAATCATCTATTTGCTCATGAATGTGAAATTTGGGCATGGCTTGGTGAGAACATTCTGCATTTATTCCATGTGGCACTAGCTGGGGTGGCTTGAAGGACAGCTGGGCACTGACATACTGAGGTTCCTCTGACACAAGCTCATTCAGTGTAAACTCTGAGGATCTTGTGATTTCGCATCCTGTCTTCCTGCCACCTTCCTCCCCAACCCATTTCCAAACTTGGCTCGTGTTGACCAACATGCGTTTCCCCGGACTTGCCATCCTCGGCAATCTCAAGACCTGTATCTCGCATGCCTCTTTCCCCTTTCCTAAATTGAGTCCTATGCATTCTTGAAGACTCAGTCAAAGCACCACCTCCTCCTGGAAGCCTCCTCTGATACTCCCCATTCATACTTCAGTTTGCATTCAGTTTGCATTAGGTACCTCTTCAGTGGGATCTCACAGCACATGTGTTTCCCTTCTTCAAAGCACATATCCTTCTGTAATGTATTGTCCTTTTCATTTCCCTGTCCCTCCCACTTAGCTCTTTAAGGGAAGAAACTGTTGTATTTTTGTATTCCCAGGATGTGGGGTAGAGTAGATACTTAGTATGTTGAATCAATGAATGATTTTGTAAATTAATATGGTGCTACCAAGTTACCGGATCAGCAGCAGGACCTAGCACCTACCAAGGGCCTCAGTAAAGCTTCTCTCCTGGATCCAACTTTAAATGAGTGCAAGCGTATAAGACATCCCAGAGCAAGTCTCACACAGAGTGCGCGCTATGTGAGTGTGACTGCTGCTCTTACAACTGCTACTACGACGGTGACTTCTGCAGCTTTCAGAGTTGGAGTTGTCCTTGTCAAAAGTTTCTTTTTTGCTCTTCCATTAGGCTTTTCCCCAGAACAGGACCTTGAACAACCTAGGCACCCTCCCAGATGCTCCACCTCCTCCTCAAGCGCTGGGAGTTCCCTGAGTTCAGGATTCCCGAAAAAGGAATCCTCTGCAGGAGGAAGTATGTTCCAGACTAACAGAGTCTGGGTGTGTCTTTCTCTTGGCAAAGCTTAGTTCCTACTTCTGCACCGTCATCTCTCTCCTACTGGCTTCCAGTGTAACAGGTGGATACAGGGAGTGCCTACCACCTGCCAGGTGTTTCTGAGCTTCCCCAGGTCCGGCAGAGCCAAGGAGGGGCAGAAGAAAGTAACAGACTTCTCTGGTATCTGCCACCCTGGGATCAGTAGCCACCTTCCTGTTGCCCTTTGAACCTGGGGTCATTTTGGGGGGTGGGTGGAGGGAAATCACACACACTAGAGTGAAAGCTAATTACATCTGGGGAGGAGGCTCGGTCTGCACCTTAATTTGGAGGAAGTGCTTTTTCAAGTTTCCTCAAGTCTTGCTCTTGCCCTGCCTCTCTGTGGGTAGCCAGAAGCTAAAAAGTCCCAGATTTCTCCTCATTACATCCCTGCCCCACCCTGCCTGGAATTTGGGGAACTTGAGTGTGGCAGTTTTAGCCCAAACTATGATTAATATTTGGTGCTGGGAAAACTGGGGTTCCAGGCTAAGCTTGAAAATTTTTTGAGTGACAGAGAATGGGGAATTTCCAAGATGACCCTGAGAGAAGGGGACAGGGCAGGGTCCTGGGTAAAAGGCTTGAGTGCAGCGGGGAATGGAGGAAGGTTAACGGGGAAACACTGTAGTTCAGGGAGAGAAAATCCCAGGGCAAAATACCTCTAAAACCGAAATCAGTCAAAGGGACAAATAAAGTTTAAAACCCATTTATTGCTCACAAAAATGCAGTCCAGGGCTGTCTCTCTTTCCTGCTCTGGCAGAAGCAAAACCAGCAACCCCCTCACCTCTCAGATTCAGGTAAGCCCTCTGTTGCCCAGGTAATTACCCAATGATATGGAGATGAACTACTCTCCACCCCTGAGGAACACCTATTGATATGCAATGCACTAAAGCCATTTTTCTCTCCACCCTTGAAGGCCTGTTGATACGCAGATGCACTAAAGCCAGGTGAGATATTCTGGAAATATTACAAGTTTTACCCACACACCCTAAGATAGAAGGACTGAAAAGCAAGACATGCAGGGATGGTAGATGTTGGCCCTTGAAGAGCCACAGCTAGGAGCAAAGATGGGGCCAGAATCCCAGGGGAGGACACTAGCGTCTAGAGGATGATCCAGAGGAAAGAATGGAATGCAGGTTTTTTCCACTAAAATTCACTTCCCAGGGGAGGTCTTCCTTGCCCTGTGGACCAGGTTGGGTCCTCCTGTAAGACTTTCCCTGTTCAGGGCACCACTGTCACAACGCTTCTCCTTTTCTACAGTTGGACTCTGTGGGTCCAGACCCCAGCTCCTTCCTTACTAGCTCTGTGGCCTTGTCCAGGTATTTATGGGTTTTTTTTTAAACTAAGTTCCCTTAATCTGTAATGTGGCTGAAAATAGTACCTCCTCAAAGGATTGTAAAGATGACATAAAATAGTATGTTGGAAGTGTTTAGCACAGAGGCCAGTTCTCGAATGGTGACAGTGATGGGATGACAAAGATTGATGGCCTGTTTCCCTGGCAACTCTGAGGTCTGTGGGGGCCAGGGACTGTCTGTGTTTTCCATGACTGTATATCCCCAGAACCTAGCGCAGTGCCTGGCCGATCGCATGGGCTCAGTGAGTGTTTGTTGAATGAATGTATGAGAGACTGAGATAGGCTTGGGTTAGGGCCTTGTAGGAGTTGGGGTTTAGAGCTACAGTTCACTGTATGTTCCCTCTAAACATGAGTCTCTAGGTGACCCCGAAAAGACACCAAGGTTATTCCCAGATAGAATGACTATGAGGGCATTTTTCTTTCCTTCTATTTTTCTGTAATCTCCACAGTTTTTCCAGAGCAAAACAAGGATTACTTTTCCATTGGTTAAAAAAGAGAAAATGATTCAACAACATAACGCTATGCATTGTCTGGAAGGCAGGAGATGGGACTGAAGGCCAAGGACTGGTAAGTCATGCAGGGGATGGCCTGCGTTTCTGCTCTCCTTCCCCTCGGCCTTCTCCAACCTCCAGGCCCCTCGGAGTCTCACAGGCTGCTTCCTGCAAAGGGAACGCTCAAAGCACAGGGCCCTGCAGATGACACTCCTGCCTTTCATATCTTAAGAAGAGTCTGACTGAGAAGTTTGAGCTCTCACTGGACCTCCACGTGTTCAGAGGGAAGGGCATTTTGAGCTCTGACTCTTGTGGCTCCGTTAAATGAAATGATCACGGGCATGGTAAGAGGTAAGATGTCCCCTGGTGCTCCCCCCAGTGGAAAAATGGAGTTTCCCCCTTCAGCTAGGAGCTACCCTATGTGTCATAGTGTCTCACCTTCACTTGTCCATGTTACAGATGAGCAGACTGAGGTAATTGAAGCTAGCCCTATGGGGTGTGCCCAAGGCTGCACAGCTAGTACGTGGCAGGGCTACAACTCAGATCCAGCTCTTCTTCCACAATTCAACTTACGGTGACCTTCTTGTCTCAGTTTGCCCAGGATTTTTCCATCTTTAGGACCAGGAGTTCTGTGTTCCAGGAACCCCCTCAGTCCCAGCAACCTGGGACAGTTGATCACCTGAAGTCCGGGTCTCATTCCGTAAGTTAGCATCACTTGGCTTTACCAGTCACGGTGGGGCGGTAGATCTGTGGGAGCCAGAAATGATTCACCCCTGGTTCTTCCTAAGGGAGAAATGATCCAAGCCCCCAGCACTGGGAGGACCCTTTGGCAGGCAGGACAACTGAGCACACTCACCCGGAAGACCAGGGGGTCAGCTCTCTGCTGACCTCAGATCCGTTTCCCTGAGTGTGTGACTTCCATCACAGAGCACGCTGTACCCTGCTCTTAGGTAAACAGGTAGAGAAAAAGGCAGCTCTTCCTTTCCAGATGAACGCCCCTCCCTGTGTCCTAATCATCCCTTCCACACGGAGACAGCATGTGATGTGCGGTGTCAGAGGGCGGGCAGGAAACACCACCCTCATTTCTCTAGGTGAGGAAACTGAGGCACAGAGAAGTCGTACAGCCGGCGAATGTCAAAATTAGACCCAAAACCAAGTCTTTTAAGGTTTTAAATGTAGTGTTCATGGACTCCTGAATGTCCACAGATGGACATCACAGGGAAAGCTAGTGTGCTCTGGACTTTTTGGGAGATTATCCCAGATATTTCACCAATTTCTCAAAGGAATGAATCTGACGTCTCAGGTCTATAGTCTGTGCATGATTAACTTTTTCTGTTTAACCATTGATTGTGCTACAAGAAAATCTTTACAGATGGCACTTAAAATGTGCTTCAAGAATATTAGGCAAAATAATTAATTTCACTTTGGTTGAGGTGGCCACATTCAACTTTTTTCTTTCTTCCTATTTGATAATTCTTCAATATTTCTGAAACACTATGTTCAGAATTTTTTCTTCCGAGACCACATTTTATTTAATCGTCAACACAGGTAGGTGCACACACTGAAAGAAAAAGGCCCATAGGATTCAACTCTCCAATAGCCAGGGTTGCCGGCCTCCAACCCTTCCTGGAAGCTGACTGTTTTGGACAATGGGAGAGAAGCACACAGACCCTTTGGACCTGAACTCTCTGATGTTTCCGTGGAATGGCTTCAGTGAAGGGGCACAGAAGAGTAGTGTTTCTGTGGTATGAATTAGGGCCCCTCCCCACCAGGCACCCCGCTTAGCAGGCAAGCTGTTCATGTGGACCTCACCACAACCTCGTACATGTGGCTGTGGGAAAACACCAAAGAACTATTCAATTGTCTATGCTTTTAGTGAGGGGGACCCATTCCCTGTCATTCATGCCTTCATTCACTCAAACATTACGGAGTGCCTGCTAAGTGTTACATTTTGGAGGTACTGTGATAAACAAGACAGGCACGATCCCTGCCATGATGGCATCTATATCCGAGCAAGGACTTGAAGTTGGATTCTCCAGCTAATGAAGGAGCCATGTGGGTGCCAGCTGGGGTGCACTCTCTCTGATGGGGGGACACAGACTCCGTCCTCCCCCGGCTTCAAGCCTGATGGGACAGAGATTTCAGAATAACAGCTCTCAATGGAAATGAACAAAGTACAAAGTCAGTCCACAAGTACTGAGGGGAGACCAGGCAGAAAAAAAATGCAGTGAGGGCAGCAGGAGAGGGATTCCCGCAGGAACTGTATTTGCTCTAAGTTTGAGCCCTGCCCTGAAGATGCCAGGTCACCTCTCCGACATGCCAACAGCCGGCTTCCATCCAGCTTGCCAGAGTGAAGGAATTTATATGTGGAATACGGTGGAGGTTTAGCCAACCCAGGGGAGAAAATCCTCCAGGAAAAGAACTCTAAGCAAAGCCCCTGGCTCTCGGACGGCCAGGATCCTGAGTTGGGATGATACCACGGGACAGTGTTGCTTTTGAGGGTTTCCTCCAGGAGGCAGCGTGGACACAAGAAGTCATCCCTGTGCCTGGCCGGCCGTCACACCTCAAGCATCTCACATCCATCAGCACTTGTTCTGCTGCCTGCTGCCTGCGATTACGTCATAGCAAGCCAATGCTTCCCGCCCAAGCTCCTCCTCCTCCCAGGGCCCCAGGAAGCTCCCCCCAGGAACTTCCTGGCTCCCAGTGCACAAAAGCTCTTATCAAGTGACATGGTTCATTTTACCAATACTGGAAAATCCACACCGATTTCCACAGAATTGCCGTTTCTGCTGACATGCCCAGATTTGCTGGTTGGGAAGGGTGCTCTTGAGCCATCCTCCACACCATTTGCTTTTCTGCTTTTCCTTTACTTGGAGGGAAGAGATTTTATTTTATTTTTTTCTATAGGAAGAAGGTTTGAAGTCAGAAGAGGTGACAAAAGTCATGTGAATGAAAAGAGCACTGGATGGAGAGTTCAGGTCTCTGGTCCACCGCTATTCAGCTGTGTGGCTTTGGACCAGACACTTCTCCCCAAGTTTCCGCTGTTTCCTCTTCTGCAAAGGAGAAGGCCGGATATTCACCTTCTCCTGGACATTCACCTTGGGCAAGGTACTTGCCAGCTTGAAGTTTCAGCTTCCTCCTCTGAAACAATAGACATGAAAACAGTGTCTGTCTCATGGAGCGGGTGTGAAGATCAAAAAAGATAGTGCCTATAGGGGCTTAATACTGTGCCCAGGCTGATAAATGTGCCCAGTACTTGTTAGCTAGTACAATCGGTCTAGTTTCTCTGGTCTATGAATTTTGAGTCTGTGACCGTGAGAAATGAAAGATAATGGAATGAAAGGTACATGGAACATTTGGACCTCATACCAGCCGTCTGGTTCCCCCTTAGTTGAGACAAGGGACCAGTGAGCAGGCGTTTGCCTTCTCCCAGAGGCTCATTCCTTCGTGGGTGGACCTGTGTGACACGTTGCCTCCAAAGATGTGCCACTGTGCTATGTTTATATGGGCAGGATGGATGAAGGAAGTGAGCATGTTCGCATGGGGTCATATACAAGAGTTATATCTTTATCTTCCACTGTAGAAAGCTGATAGATTATTTCTAAAATGAAGAGTTAAGAATTAGCGATAAATACATGTTCTTGAGAATTACGGGGTTTGTAGTGGACGAGGAGGCTAAATATTGAAAGCGGCTGCCTACGGGCCGAAGGAATGGGGGTAGGCAGGACTGGGACAAGAGACTGCAACTTCTCATCATATGTGTGTCTTGTCAAATCATGAAAGCGGACGTCTTTGATTAAAAATAAAAAATGAATTAGAAAATACAAGTTAGTGCAATACATTATCCTAAGGTCTGTGGTCGTTGTGGTGGTAAGCTTTGGGCTCCTTGCTTGCATGGATTCCTTTCAAGTCGCTGAAAGGGCCCTAGCACCATGTCTACATGTCAAAAGTTCTTATAAAATGCCAAAGAGTAAGATATTGTCAGCCTTAATCAATGAAGATCAGTGTCCTTTTCCACTCTGACTTCCCCTCTGTCACAATTCCCCTCAAGTCAGATGACATTAATGAAGCCACATTATCTGGGGAATCTGGCTAAGGAGTGGTTGATGTGGGGGTGCATTTGACCTCTAGAGAGATTATTTCTGTGGCTCATAGTCACATCTGTGTGTGGCTGAAATATTGCTAGTCATCTTGGGGTAACAATGGCACCCTGAAGGGCTCCTTCCACCCACTGTGCTGACTCCTCTTACTGGAAGTATGTAGGTAGTGGAGGAAAAGCAAGGTTTGAGATGTAGGAAGACAGACAGAAGGAAGTGTGTTAAAATTCTTCCAGTCATCAGAAATGTAAAATTAGTAGCCAAAGATTTGGTTCTCATTAAAATCTAGTCAGCATGGAAAACTTTGCTCAGTAACATAATATATACAATTAGAAGTGAATCACATAGTTTTTTTTTTTCTGATAAGAATTTGGTGAGGCAGGATTTATCAGAATTTCTGTGTTTGTAGGGCACAAACCTGTAGCATGTGCTGTATGTTCAAGAACAAAAACCCAATTTTGAACAGCCACACCAGGAGACAGACTTCTCTTTTTAATCTCTTTATAGAAAATAACATTTAAAAATCATTGTCTAAGAAGCAGCAGTGAGTTAGGGATGTCAGGGAGTTAATTCATAAAAACATTGAGTTATCTTTCTGGATTTTGTAGTGTGGTACTTGTCAGCTTTAAAAAATGTATAATTTACTGTGATTTCTTTTTTCTCTTTCTAAATAAATATTCACTTTTGTCTCAAACTTTGTACTTCTATTTTTAAGTTCCTTTTCTTAAAACGTACCCCCTCCTTCCCCAGCTGCTCACACAAGCTGTCCTCATATAAGCTGGTCCTGACCCTGGCTGGGGTTCAAGTCTGTAGAGGGTCCGGTGGCAGGGTTGCCAGGTTTAGCAAATAAAAACTCAGGACTCCCAGTTCATTTGGAATTTTAGAGGGATAAACACTGAAACGTGTTTATCTGAAACTCCAAGTGAAGTGGATGTCTTATATCCATCAGGTGGGACTGGGAAAGAAATAGGAACCCCCCAGGGTGGAGGTGGGAGGAGGGGAGGGGAGAGGGCAAGGAAGAGGGGAGAGACTTCACAAAGGGAGTCCCACTGGAGGTAAGGCTTGCAAGTTGGGCAGGAATTTGAAAGCAGAAAAGCTAGGGAGGTGAAGGGTGGGGCTCGTCCACAGAGATGAGGTTGGAGAAGTGGGCATGGTCTGGGTCCTATGGGTCTGGAGGGGCATGATGAACAGCTTGCTGTTTACCCTGGAGGCCCCCAGGGGCCGTGCTGGGAGTTTTGGGTTGGGGAGCACCAAAACTGGGTTTGCATTTCAGGAGGCCCGGCTGCCTGGTTGAGGATGCGTCATTGGAAGTGAGGCCAGGTCAGTGGGTCTAGGAGAGGAAGGGGTTGGCGGTGCTTGGACTCCGCCCATGACCTGTTACTGGCTCTCCTTCCCAGGGTCCACAGGGGCTGTTTCATGGCCTCTGAGTCCCAGAACCCACTGACATAAGGTGTCAAACTGAGCCCTGTGGGTAAAAAAGAAGGAAAGGCCAGGTTGATGCAGCACAGGTGCCCGAGGTTGGGTTTTCCCTCCCTCCCCCTCCAGCACAGGAGCAGCCAGGGAGGATTTCCTTAGGTCATCCACTTCCTGGGTCGAGGCAAGT